TAGCGGAATCTTATTTCTACGACAAACATTAACGTGACAATTTAGAACGTTAGCTATGGCATATATTATTCATAAATTGTCACGTTATGCAATGTGAGTTGAATTAATTGTCTGTAAAATAATATGGTTCCTAATATAAAATTGCAGGGGCCCATGCAGGCTATGACAGCTAATACGAAATAGTTGAATTTTAAAAATTTATGAAGGTTAAAAACTTACGCTACATATTGTCGGTGAAGCCAGGGATGTATAAAAGATAATATTGGTGGTACGTAAACCATTTTTATAACTGAATGTGTTAAGGTTCTAAAAGTTTCCAAAAGGTCCTCATCAGAACAACATTCCTAATGGTTTATCATAAGAGTAGTTAATATTGTACTAAGAAATTTTGCATAAAACAAATAACAAATACATACCTCACCAACAACAGCGTTAGCAGTTGGAAGTGAAATGATACTTGATAATAGTTTATTTAGATCATGAATAACCTTCGGTTCTATAATAAATAAACATTTAAGTATCTATGGAAAATTATATATTTTATTATTATTAAAAACAGTGTTGGAAAATTTTAATGCTCTCATAAGAACTATTTTTTAAAAAGCAATGTTTCAAAATTAAAAAAAAATGGTATCATAAAAATTATTATTCAAATTTAATCAAATTAATGTTCTCACAAATTATAAAATATAAAAGAACATTAAAATGTTTCAATTCAAAGGTGATATTCTTAAGAGAACGAGAACATAAGATACTAGTGTTCCGAAATTTCGGATCGGATCAGATTCGGATTATAACCGAAACCAAAAATTTCGGATTGGACCCCGGATTCAATCCGAATTTCCGTTTCGGATCAATCCCAGATAAAACCGAGTTTTTAATACAGTTCGGAACACTATTTCCAACACTGATTAAAAGCTCAAAAACTTACCAGCACATTCACCAATAAAAATGTCCAATGCCTTATTAATATTTTGTTGTAATCTACTCGAAAAATATTTTATTTTTCTTAGAATAATTTCTTTTAATATTATAACGGATTTCGGAAAATTATTGGCTTGATGAATAAATATAAGATCCATAGGTAATTGCTGATTAAATAATAAAAAAATGGTTAAAGCGTATGATAATAAATTTAAACTTACTAAATTCGCTAGAAAATTTTAATTACCATTCTAGAGGCTTCGCGAAAATCAAAATCTTTATCTTTTTTTAATACTTCATGAGTTGATTCCTTTCCGACTACGGTTATTAATTGTCCAAATACGTATAATGAAAATGTCTCGCCATACTATTAAGAAACC